AAGCAAGGGGGGCTGACAAGATCCGTGTGCCTCAACAGGCTGTGAGTGTGTGAGTGAGTGATCATAAGCCAAACTTGGGAGCAGCGTGTGTAACATTCGTCTCCCTCCATTTCCCCACTTCTGGCTAGAAAGGTGTAGTGTTGGTAGGTCCATCTGGGAGATTGCTAATGGTAGTTCTGATTCTCCTGTCTTGAAATGGCAGGTGAGACTTTCATGGTCAAGTGGCTGAGCCAGGCTTCCTGCAGTTGATCTTTGGCCTGCCCATCATGAGGATGCCCTCTTGCTTTCTGGTCCTAACACATGATCAAAATGCAGAACCAACCCTTTTGCAGAACTATGGAATATCTGTTATTGTCATTCAGGAAAATAGCATGCTGTTGTTTACATGACTTTGCACAGACTATGATTATGCTCACATAACATGCTAATCCATGGTTGGCTGTTTATTACTTGAATAAATCAAGTGACACTGTAGTACCAACAGGATCCCCAGGAACCATAGGGAGAGCCTTCAATTGAAAGCACAGACTACTTACCATCACAATCTCATAGCCTTCTATGCAAGTCACCTTCACAGAATCCTTAAAGACATAATGGTCTCTTAGGGGATGCTGAACAGATTTTGAAATAACAGTCTGTGGGCAGGGCATTGCTTTGGAAAGAGAAAAGGTATCAAATCAATCACCTAATCCCATACAAACATATACACGCACAAACACAAACATATACACGCACAAACACAAATCCCCCTTTCCATCCTCCATGGTCAGAATCAGGACCAAAAAAAGTCATGAGTTTAGTGCATATTTTATCCTTTCTTCACTCAGGCCAACTGTGCCTTTTTTGCTCTAGCATTTGTCAATACGGATTATTTCACTCCACCAGGACTGCAAAGCTTTCTGCTGACACCCTCTTGCCTCCCACACTGACCCCGAAGATGCCCCCTCTTTATATAACATTGCCTATTTTTTTTTCCTTGAGATGGTTTTGTTTTATTTTTCATAACTTCATGTAAAATGGGGAAGGAACTGAAAATGAAGTAGTAATGGCAAAGGATGATAAAACACTCTGCTCTGCATGTTCAAATTCTGATGGAAAATCCATGTATTTCCTAAACAGTGCACAATAAACAGTGTGCATTTTGATTCTAGTCACTCCACTGCATTTTGCCTCTGCTTCTGGTTTTAGTGGGGCTGAGTGCTAGTTAACTACCTCAAACCAGCCAGCAACTCAAAGGTTCTTCTGCCCACAGCCAAAGAAATTCCTAGTCCCCCTAATCTATCAATTCACAATTTATCTGGGGGATTACCTAATTCACTCTAGCAAACAGAATTCTTGCAAACAGCATTCCTTTTGCTGAGAGTAACTCACCCATTGCTCTGCAAATATCATCTTTTCTGTTTGCTCCTTGAAAGCAAACCCTTGTCTTGTTACAACAATCCAGTTCTCTGCTTCAGTGCTTACTTGAATACCCCCCATGTTTTCCTCAGAAGAGATCTACTCACGGTCCCCAAAGTAGCGGATTTTCCAGCCTTTCATTTGTTCAGCGTGGTCCGTTTGGAAGAAAATGTCCACAATATTGCTTTTGGTCTTGATTTCAGAAGGCCCAGGAAATGTATTGCCACAGTAAGGACCAAAATGCTGGCCACCTGCCAAAAACTACAAAACAACCAGCAGGAGTATTGGGGAAAAGTTAAAAAAAAAAGGGGGGGAAGCATCCATAATAGCCAAAGACTGGGGCAGGCATTCAAGATGTAAAGTGACATATGTAAGCACAAGGGTCGTTGGCTGAAGAATTTAAGATACAACTGCAGAAGTGTTCAATATTAATGCAGAGCAGCAAAACCCAAATAGAAGCAGGTTACTGATGTTATTAAATACATTTAATGACATATAATGTAAGAATGTGCTAAGCATTTGTCAATCCTCCCAGAGACTGAAAGAACACAGAACTTTCAGAACAATCATCTTCCTACTCAATAACTGGATATGAAATATTGATTAACCTGGATTTGGTCCTAAAAGAAAGATTGCTATTTCAATTAGAAATGTAATGGAAGAGTATTAAGTATAAGATATCAATATTCCACTCACCTTGCTGTCCCAAGATGTCTTTAAATATTTGGTAGAGAAGAATGTTGATGGCATCGCTTCATTTCCATAATGAATCAACTATACTCCCTGGCCCAATCTGCAATTACCATCCCTGAACTCTTTATTGATTTTTTAAATCAAATAAAGAGGGGCACCAAACAACAGTTTTCTTTCCTATTTTCTTTTCCCTGATTAAGTATTAGCACAGAATGCAAGAAAAACAGACCTTAATATAAAAATAGAACACCACTGATAAACTTCTTACTGAACAACTAGATATGAAATACTGCTTAGATCTTTCTTTTTTTTCTAAAATGCCTGAAAACTTCTATTTTTTTCCTGGTATTTTTAAGCTGAGTATTACTGAAATATAGATATTATATTTGAGCTAGATTTGAAAAAATCCATTATTCACTGAATTTGGAAAGGAGAAATCTGAGACTTTGCTGGAATTAACTAAACATGTAGGAGGGAGAGCTTCAGCTGTGGTTCTCTCAAAGTGTGATGCTTTTTAGCTGATTTTGCTACTAGTTATTAGAGTACTTATTTGATTTCGCTACAATCTATTTGCTTTTGAACAGAGGTCCAGAGATGATATTTTTAGCATCATAAATGAAAACTGTCTGTATTTACAGAAGAGCATTAAAGAGTCCAGAAGAAAAATGAACAGGAGAAGAAAGGGAATTTCTAAGGCAACAGAAGCAAATCTTTCCAACAAGGTCAGGTGTACACAAGTGTCTTTCTGTTGCACATTTTGAAGTTCAGTCCACTTACTGCATACAGACCTCCTTGTTCCCTTTTAGTTTTACTGAGCAGGAGAGCAAAGGAAGAGTTGTATGTCAGGACCAAATTCATTATGTTCCTGCCCAACAATGTTACAATGCACACATTCTGGGACTTGAATGGATTGTGAAAGTCAGATCGGCCACTCATTTTCATAGGGAATAGAGTTAAAATACAATCCAAGGAGGAGGAGCATACATACATTTAGAAGCGATCACGGCCACTTACTCTCAAGGTATCTGGGCAATTTCCTTCTGAGTCGCTTGGCTCGACATCGAAGTCCTTCTGCCCAATGTTCAGGACCACCTGGTATCCTGGCTCCAGGATGACACGATAATCACAGCGCGAGTTCTCAGGATACGGCCTGGGATAGTTGGGGCTGGTGATTTCCCCAGACAGCTCAGTAAACACATTCCCACTGCAGTTGACTAGAGTTTAGAAGAAAGGTGAGGGCAAAGAGAACAGCAATAACGTTAACAGATGTTCGTGATTACTATTCGGCTGTCCATGTGGTTCAAAGGCCTACTAGCAGGCAGGCTGAGGTTTTGGGTAACATGAAAGGGATGCAGTTATATTTTTACCACCACATATTTTACATGTGCTATTTGAGGTTTCGGCATTTAAAGCTCTTGGGCTTTTTCTAGTCAAGGCACTGTCTCAGGAAAACTGGAGATGGTTTATCAGAAGAGAATATTTTCTGATATTAACTTCCTTGGTTAACTTTGTATTTCCTGCAACTTCCCATCTCACTCATTTCTGAAAGAGGCTCACAAGACAATGACCCGTACAAATTCAGAAATTATTTTTTTTTCCTTAAAAAAAAATTAACTCTTGTCTAAGTTTTAAGGAAAACCTTTTCAGCAAATCCTGCGTGTGTGTGTGTGTGTGTATCTTAATACAGCAATAAATGTCCATGTAAAATTTCTAAATGGGAAGTGTCTTAGAAGTTCAGGTCTACCATGGGAACAGGCACCTGTCCTAACTGATATATGGACCCTCATATGCATCAGGGCATGCTCTAGATTTGGTATTCTGTTCAAGTGAACATGGTGATCTGAGACTGAAGGAGCTCTTATGAGCTTTAAGTTGGATGCTGATAGGAATGTTTCCAGAGTTGGAGGACCAATTAAAAGGTCCATCTCAGACATTTCATGGATCCAAACTGTTTCCTGAATGCACTTGGGAATTTTCCTGCTCTTCTATCAGTGACACTCTTGGTCCCACACGGCTGCTCAATTCCCTTCTTTAATGGAGAGCAAAACTGATGAAGCAGAAGGGAAGTCATCTTGAGTACAAATGGATGAAAACTCAGGAAGCTGAGGTCAGCAGTGGCCCATTCTGAAAATGCTGCAGCATATTTTGTAGATAAAGTTACTTGGTTCTACCACAGTTTGATAGAAACTGTATTGGGGCAGAGTGTAAGGATGTAAATTTGCATATCCTTGATTTTTAAAACCTAAACAGCTTGCGGCCTAACAGAGTCATTGTAGTGAGATGGGTAGCCATATAGTTCTCTCTCTCTCTCTCTCTCTCATCTATTATCTATCTATCTATCTATCTATCTATCTATCTATCTATCTATCTATCTATCTATCATCTACCAAATCTGAAAGCCCACCTATCTCTATATGAGGGTGTTTGGAAATTAGGGTCAGCAAAAGATGCCTTCTTCAACTTTCTGTGGTCTGTTTGCCAGGCTCACAGGAGAAAGCCTCTTATGTTGGTCTGGTAGTAAAACCATCCCCTTAGGAGTTGTGGTTAATCCTATACTTTATATTTTTAGGAAACTTTCCTATGCAGCCAGCTCTTTTCATTTTAAATTAACAGCAATTTTAATTAATTTTTCAGATTTTAACTCTTTATGCTTTTATTGTTAGCCTTCCCCTTAAGTGCCCTATGGGCAGAAAAGCAGATACAAATCAAATCAAAATTGATACCTATTCTTAATCATAATGATGACAAAACTACAAAATGTGCATTGTGATGTCAACAGCACAAGCCTTATCCTTCTCTACTCACATATGTAAGAAGCAGAGTGGTTCTAGTTACAGAGAGGGACCGGTTATTTGAGGGACCGCTTGCCCGGCCAATTTGATCTTGCAGGGTTGGCGCTTTCTGGGTACCTTTGATTAAACAATGTCATCTATCAGGACCCCAGAAGCACACCTTCTCTGTAGCAGCACCTGCCATCTGGAATGAGGTTCCTGCCGAGATCCAGATGGCCCCCACTCTGCTATTGTTTAGAAAAGCCATGAAGCCCTGGCTTTTGGCAAGGGAGAGGGAGACCCCTCCCACTTCATTCCATCTAGTCTGTTATGCTTGCCATCTTTTATCTTCTATTGATTTTATTGTGATTTCTTTGATTGTTATGAGCTGCCATAATCGTTGGGAGTCAGGCGGTATACAAGTTTAAGATATTATTATTATTAACATCACAATGTACATTTTGTCACTCACTCCATCCCCTGCAGATGCCAATGAAAATCTATCAGTCAATCAATCATACCTCCACATGTCTTCATATCCTCATGCAAGAAATATTCAGGAGGACAAGAGCAAAAGTAACCACCAATATAGTTATTGCAGTAATGGCTACAGGCCTCTTCCACGAAGTCTGTGCACTCATTCACATCTGTAAGAAAGGAAAAGAGATGTAGAAAAATCCTCAGTGGAACAGGAGCAAAGATGGCAGAGATGATGACATAATTTACCACTCCAAGGCACAAGCTTCTCTTGGATCTTTACCAGCCTGTCTTGGTCTCCTGGGGAATCACAGTAGTGCATTTCCCAAATCCAGAGCCCTCATTTACAGAAAAATTAGGTGGTACAACCCCAGATGGTACCACCCTATCACACACACACAGACACATTATTTATCTTCCTGGTTTTTCTAGTAGTTAGCAGCATTTCAGACTCCATTATACTAAATCAAATGTCTCTATTTTTACATGAGCAGTTGGATGGGATAGGGAGGAGGACTAGAAAAGGCAGCTGGTCATTTATCCAGGATATGAGGACAGGGGTACTAAGAAGCTTCTTGGTTTATGAGCCTGTGGGTACTTTCATCGTCAGTCTGCAATGCCCTGCAAATGAAAGATGGCTTTTCTCTAGAAATCTTCATGTTATCAAGTCCAACAGAGACTAGCTCTGCTTTAAAACATGGTTGGTTTAATCAGTTTGATTGATGAAACAGTGATAGGCCACTTTATCACTAACCAACTCCCATTCTCACTTGTCATCTAGGGACACCACTGAGAGAAAGCTGGGATCCTTTCTGCATCCCACCTCTAGGGACCTATCAGATCATATGCAACAAAAGAACATTTCTGGCCACTCCTAATTTGTAACCTGGATAAATCATGGTAATAACTACATGAGCCTATGAACCAGATATACTTTCCAAAGACTTACATGTTGTGGTGGGGGGAGGGGGGAGTTGGGGAAAGTAATATTTGGCTTGTTTAAAAAACCATCCACATGAGAAATGCTTTGAAAATACTGCTCTTTTGCAACATAATCACGAACAGATCTGACCTCTTGAATGGCGTGGAGAGTTTTGGTTCCTCTTTCAAAGGAATCAGACATGGTGCCTTTTTAAAAATTATTATTTTTGGTGGCTACCTCTTCTCAAGGCACACACGTTTACCTGCTCAGAAGAGCCGGCCAAGGGCTTACCCACTGCAATGTAATAGGCAGCAAATCCAGTGTATCTCTCCTCATTGGAAAAGTCAGACTGAAAGAGGACAGTCAAGCTATTGTAGGGCACGTGAAGTTCGTCCAGGATGGGCGAGCCTGGCGTACGCCTCGTTTTCTGCCCACAGAACTGGCCTTCCACCTGCTCACCAGACAGGACCTGGAAGGATCAGATGAACAAGATTGGGGCTTATGTTTAACTATATTTCTATCCAGAACATTGTATCCTTCATACTTCCATGTCAGCCCTTCAAGGTAGACCAGCTTAGGAAACAGACTCCACACGATTGACTGGAAGTACATGTGACTGATGTAGGATCTAGTAACAGAACCACGAAAGCCTGGCTGAGTTTTCCTTTCCCTCCCTCTTATACCCAACAGAGTCAAGGCAGAGTCATTTTAAGTTTTTCCCCCCTGTTCTGGGCTTCAAACATGTTCTTCTACAGTAATGCTGTTGCAGAGACTGTCCCAGGTCATCTCTGTGATTCGTGGCAGCCACCCTTTCCAGCTCTCCCTCAATGCTCTATTGCCAGGATGCAAAAGGTGTAGCCCATCAACTCCCCTTTTCTGGCCCTCAGAGCAGGTAGAGCCAAAAACGTTGCCCCTTTTTTGTATGCTTTGAGGAGGTTTAAGGTAAAAATTGCCTTTCTGGACCTCATTTACCATGACTTCAAAGCGGCTCATTTACACCAAACGTATCAGTCATCTGAATGATGTGAATATCATCCAGCAAATATCTTCCATCAGTATTTGTCCCTTCTTCCCCTATTATCTTCATATTGTCCAAAGCTTAATTTTCTCAGAAAATGGCTGCCTTTGTAGAATCATTGAAGCAAAGGCCTCTGCTCCTAACCCACAGGGATATCCAAATGATGAAACAGGCACTGTGACATCACAACACAAGCTCCACTCATTCTTACTTGCATCATGAGATTGCCTACAAGTTCATAAGGGGTAGAATTTGTGTTGCAACATTAGAACACACAATTCATCACTTGCTTCCACTTCCCCATGCCTGTGGATAGAAATGCATTCAAAGGTCCAGGCATTTCAGAAGCTGCTCCTTTCCTGAAGGCTGGGACAGATGTCCAGGAATTACTTCATGCCTTCAGTTTATCGTTCAATCACTCTTCCCCTCTACCCCCTTCAGATGTGCGCTACACTATGCCAGCATAGTGATAACAGCGGTACTGGATGGTTTCTCACCATTTTTCTGACATTTATTTTAAAAGTTCTTGCTATCTAAGGATAGCAGCAGATACTAAGATCTTATATTACTACCCCTCATTCTTCATTGATTGTAGGGAAACTAAGATGGCAGTTGGAGACCCATCAAATAAGGATTCGTGTCTCCTGCTGCTGCCACTAAGTACAGTAATGAAAAAAGGAGTGAGATGTTGGCTGGGCCACAGAGAAAAATATTATAGCCTTAAAAAAAAAAAAAAAAGCAATTAGGAGCAAAATAATGTGAATAGGGCTGAGGGGGAGCACAAGCAGGCCCTCCTTGAGGGATGAGGCCGCTCCTGCTAGGAGGCGAAACGCAGAAGGCTTTTGGTCAGGGGGAGCTGTGCAAAGGCTGGACCGGCGTCCAGATACTGTAATGCTGGGGTGAGGAACAAGAAGCCAAAAGTAGAGTGTGACAAGATGAGAAGCTTGGGGGTGAATGTCCTGTCCTGGGAATATTGTGAATTAGGTAAGCTCACTAGTCTGGAAGGGTTCTGCCCAGTTTGGGTTGTGTGCCAAGTATGAGCATAGCCAGAGAAGAACAACCTGGCATGAGGATTCATGTCCTGGAAACTTTCTATTTGAGATTCATGTACTTAATTGGTATCTATACTTATATTATTATTACGTTAATGTTGGTCGCATAGCCAGCCAGTTGTTTAGACTGGATTTGGCATCTTTATCCACCTATCGAATCCTTTCCAAGGACCTGGGATAGGCAGATGTTGTTGTCTGATGGTGTTAAAGGTATTGTCGCAGGATGTAAGCTGTTCCAAGTAAAGCTGCCTTTTGCAATCATTGCAGGATGTCAACTGAATAATAATAATAATAATAATAATAATAATAATAATAATAATAATAATA